GTAGTGCTGTGTGGAAGTGCAGTGGATATTCAGGAAGTACAGCCTTATGGTGAATTCTTCGGTCACTAGAGACATAACTTCTAAGGGCTTAGGGGACCCAAGACTCATTTCTTTCCTCCTGGCTTACAAACTGAAGTTGCTCTGATGCTTGCCCTGTCAGAAGCCCAAAGTGGAGAGACTGCTTAACATGGAACCAGAACTTCAAGAAATGTGAATTGCTACAGGTATTCTGAGTGATGATAGGTGAACTAGTACATACAAAACTCACAAAAAGGTAATACTAACAAATGGCAATTTTTATTGTTTGTGGGGCTTGAGTTCGGGCTCTGGGTGCTGTCCCTGAGCTCTTTAGTTCAAGCCAAGTGCTCTACCACTTGAGCCACAGGACCACTTCTGGTTTACTGGTGGTTTATTGGAGATGAGTCTCATGGACTTTGCTGCCTGGGCTGGCTATATAATTATATAGCGTATATAAAATTATATACATGATATATATAAAATTACATACATGATACCTGCTGTTGTTGTTTTTGTAGTACCTTGCACACATAAGCACTCTACTACTAAGCTTCAGCTCCCGCCTGCTGGGGGGTGGGGGCTGGGGTGGGGAGGTGGCAGGAGACAGGATTTAAGCTACCCAATCTGGCCCTGAATCACATGATTCCTCTTGCCTCAGCCTCCCAAGTAGCTATAATTATAGCTATGTACAATCATACCTAACATCCCCAAACCTTTTTTTTTTTGTCAGTTGTGGGGCTTGAACTCTGGGTCTGGGCACTGTCCCTGAGCTCTTCAGCTCAAGGCCACTTGAGCCACAGCACCACTTCTGGTTTTCTGTTTTTGTTTTTGGGTCCGGTCGTGGGGCCTGAACTCTGGGCCTGGGCGCTGTCCCTCAGCTCTTCAGCTCAAGGCTAGCGCTCTAACACTTGAGCCACAGCGCCACTTCTGGCTTTTTTCTTTTTGCTTATGTGGCGCTGAGGAATCGAACCCAGGGCCTCAGGCATGCAAGGCAAGAGCTCTACCACTGAGCCACCTTCACAACCCCCACTTCTGGTTTTCTGGTGGTTAATTGTAGATAAGTCTCACAGATGTTCCTGCCTGAGCTGGCTTTGAACCACAATCCTCAGATTTTAGCCTTCTGAGTAGCTAGGATTATAGGCATGAGCCACTGGCACCTAGCCCCCAGACCTTTCTTAAGTTACACTGATTATACTCACAATACTATGATACCATCACCATTATCCATTTCCAGAGCTCATCTATCACTCCAATCATAGACCTGGTGGCAGCAACTCTACTCTTTCTTGTGTGTTGGAAAACTTTTGTGTGTTCTAAATTTGCCTAATTTAGCTATTTCATATCAATTTCTCACTTGTGTATTTTGAAGGTAAATTGGGAGAGAGAAAGAGTAAACACTCTCCTTGAGAAATGTGGCAATGAATATAGGGAACGTAGTAGCTAAAAGAACAAAGATAGTTTTGTTTTCTGAGGTATACGGTTTAAACCCAGGGCGCTGTACATGTTAAACACATGCTCTGTCACTGGGCCCACATAAAAGAGGTAATTCTGGGCTCATTTTGCTTTTTTTTTTTTCATCGGTTGTAGGGCTTGAACTCTGGGCCTGGGAACTGTCCCTCAACTTAAGGCTAGCACTCTACCACTTGAGCCACAGAAGTCTCATGGACTTTCCTGCCTGGGTTGGCTTTCAACTGTGATCCTCAGATCTCAGCCTCCTGAGTAATTAGGCTTACAGGCATGAGCCACTGGTGCCCAGCTTGCTTCTTTTTTTTTTTTTTTTTTTTGGGTCCGGTCGTGGGGCCTGAACTCTGGGCCTGGGTGCTGTCCCTCAGCTCTTCAGCTCAAGGCTAGCGCTCTACCACTTGAGCCACAGCGCCACTTCCGGCTTTTTTCTTTTTGCTTATGTGGTGCTGAGGAATTGAACCCAGGGCCTCAGGCATGCAAGGCAAGCGCTCTACCACTGAGCCACCTTCCCAGCCCCTTGCTTCACTTTTTAAAATGGATGTAGGCCAGATGTTGGTGGTTCATGCCTATAATTCTAGTTACCCAGAAGGCTGAGATCTGAACGGTTCAAAGCCAGCTTGGACCAAAAGATCTGTGAAACTTACTTTCAGTTAACTAGCAAAAACCCAGAAGTAGAGGTATGGGTCTAGTAGAGCCAGACTTGAGAGAAAAGCTAAGGGACAATGCACAAGCCAAGTTCAAGGCCTGGTACCAGCACCCCCCCACCCCCCCCACACACACAAAAAAAAAGAACTCAAGTGTTTTAAACTGAGTTTTTCACAAAGAGAAAGCATAAAGATACACACACACACACACACACACACACACACACACGTAAAGAACTCGAGTGTTTTAAACTGAGTTTTTCACAAAGAGAAAGCATAAAGATGGCAATGTATAGGCCCTAGTAGGCAAAACACAATTGTTGGCTGAGCAGGTCAGGCCAGGTCTATGACCATGGAGAAAGGCTGGGTGCACTTGAGGGCTGAGGCCTCAGTACTTAGGAAGATGGTAGGATTTTACTATCACAGAGGTTTGTAGCATCTTCTATTGAGGAAAGGGGAAAGGGCTGACTAGTATTGAGGCAAAAGCATTTGCCTACTCCAGGTTGGGTAACACCATTTATCAGCTGAAGGGGTGGGGGACAGGGTGCCACTGCCAGGGCTGTGCCAACACATGTACCTGAGTTAACCAGGTCAAAGCCTGCAGGTGCATGATCTGGTTCTAGGTGTGAGTTCACCAGGGACAGATGCCAAAGTGGAAGAACTGAGGGCTGAGGACATGGGGTTTCTCTGAGAAAGAATTCTTTGGGTAAGAACTGGGAGACACAAGCTGACAGCAGAGGAAAGAGAGGCCTCCTAGTTATACACCTAGGTGGAAATTAGGGAGGGTTGACTCCAAGAGTGGACTGTGAGGGTCCATATCTTCTTCCAAGGAAGCATTGCTTTTGTTCTCTGCCAAAAATGTCAATTACAAATTTACTTGAGAAAACAATCTTTTAAGCCAGGTGCCAGTGGCTCACACCTGTAATCCTAGCTATTCAGAGGCTGAGGTCTGAGATGAATGGTTCGAAGCCAGCCTAGGCAGGAAACTTTGTGAGACTCTTATCTCCAGTTAACCACCAGAAAACTGGAAGAGAAGCTGTGGCTTGAAGTGGTAGAGTGCTAGCTTTGAGTGAAAAAGTTCAGGGACAGCCGGGTGCTGGTGCCTCACACCTGTAATCCTAGCTACTGAGGAGGCTGAGATCTGAGGATCGCGGTTCAAAGCCAGCCTGGGCAGGAAAGAGCGTGAGACTCCTATCTCCAATAAACCACCAGAAAACCAGAAGTGGTGCTGTGGCTCAAGTGGTAGAGCGCTCGCCTTGAGCTGAAGAGCTGAGGGACAGTGCCCAGTCCCAGAGTTCAGGCCCCACGACCGACCAAAAAAAAAAAAAAAGCTCAGGGACAGTGCCCAGGCCCTGAGTTCAAGCCCTACACCTAACAAAATGAAACAAAACCAACAACAAAGAAAACCAACAATCTTTTTTTTTTTTAGGTCTGGTCGTGGGGCCTGAACTCTGGGCTTGGGCGCTGTCCCTCAGCTCTTCAGCTCAAGGCTAGCACTCTACCACTTGAGCCACAGCACCACTTCCGGCTTTTTTCTTATGTGGTGCTGAAGAATCGAACCCAGGGCCTCAGGCATGCAAGGCAAGTGCTCTACCACTGAGTCACCTTCCCAGCCCCAACCAACAATCTTTTAAATGAGACAATCCTAAAAATGTGCACAAGGAAAAAAATTAGCCCTTCTCTATGTACAAAATATTCCAGATATAACTCTCCAAGGGTAAACAATTATTATTGCTTTAAGCAAAGGTGGGGTCTCTGGAAAGCCTTGAAGATACTTATGATGGAATGGGAAGGTGTGGTGAAGAAAGCGGGAAGAGCAACAAGGGAAATGACTAGAACAAAGGCCCACCTACAAGGACTACAGAAGAAAATATGGCTGTCTTGGGTAAACCTAAGGGGAAGGTGCTGCAGACTTCAGGAGGTGGACTATGGGATGTATGGCATTAGGCCCAGTTCTGGGTGTGCCAGGCAAAGAGTACACAGGGAGATGTGGTGGATGGAACCTAGCACTCACTGCTACAAATGGAGAACCGAGGAAGGCGGGGGGTAGGGGGAGTGGGTGGGGTGATAGTGACAGGTACTTAAGAGTGGAGGAAAAATATTCTAGATCAGTGAGAATATCCTGAGTTTAATATAATGTTCAGATGAGATATTTAGGTTAAAAGGTTATTTCTCCTTTTCTTTTTGGTCAGTCGTGGGGCCTGAACTCTGGGCCTGGACGCTGTCACTCAGCTCTTCAGCTCAAGGCGAGCACTCTACCACTAGAGCCACAGCACCACTTCCAGCTTTTTCTGTTTATATGGTACTGAGGAATGGAACCCAGGGCCTCATGCATGCAAGGCAAGCACTCTACCACTGAGCCACCTTCCCAGCCCTATATCCTTATTTTGTACCAGTGTAGAACTAACTCAAGGCCTTGTGCTCTGGGGCTCAGGTGTCTTGCTTATAACAAGGCCTGACATTTTGTTAGCTAATTGGAGATGTACTCATACAGACTTTTCTGCCTGAGCTGGCTTCAAATGGTGTTCCTCCAGATCTCAGCCTCCTGAGGAAGGTAGGATTATACGTAAGAGCCACTAGCACCAGCTTTAGAAGTCTATTTTCAAGCCGGGCGCTGGTGGCTCACGCCTGTAATCCTAGCTCCTCAGGAGGCTGAGATCTGAGGATCGCGGTTCAAAGCCAGCCCAGGCAGGAGAGACCGTGAGACTCCTATCTCCAATAAACCACCAGAAAACCGGAAGTGGCGCTGTAGCTCAAGTGGTAGAGTGCTCGCCTTGAGCTGAAGAGCTGAGGGATAGCGCCCAGGCCCAGAGTTCAAGCCCCACGACCGACAAAAAAAAAAAAAAAAAAGAAGTCTATTTTCATTCCTCAGTGTTACAGTCAGAATATTTAAAATATTTATTTCAAAAGTAGTACTTAAAAACAAACAGACAGATGTCATTTGGATGAAAAGCTCCAAGATGTATTATTTGCAAGTCCAGTTTCATAAATTGACAATGAAGTACTATTCTGTCCATGACTCAATGATGTCTCCTGTGTGCACCTCTGCTCCACTGTAATTAAGGGTTGCTTTCTGCAAATCTGCCTGTGACTTCCTCGATTCTTCAACTGTAGCTGATTAAGTCTCCTGATTCTAATGGTGGGCTGTTTTATGGCCTAGGAGGTGGAGTCAAGCCTCCAGGACCCTTGTGTAGGCCTCCATTATCTACAAGTGAAGCTCAGAACTGACCAATCTGAAGCTAGGGAAAATGGCTTAGAAGAGGAACTCCCATTCAGTATAAACTGCCCTGAATCCTACTGTAGAAAAAGTTGTCAATTGGGGATGGAGAGTTCAAGATTATGGCCAAGAAGATATCCTACATGGCTTCCTCTGAGTTTACCCCAAGTGGGAGCCACCTGGCCCCTGCCTTTTATTACATTTCTAATAGCTGCTCCATTTCCTCCAAGGCTACTGAAATGTCACTGGCTTGATCATTACACAGAGTTTGCTGTTCCAGGAATCGGATTCTTTCTTCTTCTTTCATCTTCAACTTTACCTTTAAGGCCTGCAAAGCAAAGCATTACAAAAGAAGAAAGAAAAAAAAAAAATCACACAAAACTTTTACTTTTTTTTGTGTGTGGTGGGGGGGGGGGGGGGGAGGGGTGTGTGTGAGGGGTGGCCAGTCCTGGGGCTTTAACTTGGGGCCTGGGTGCTGTCACTGAGCAAAAGAAGCTCAAGGCTAGCACTCTACTACTTGAGCCACAGTGCTACTTCCAGCTTTTTATGTGGTACTAAGGAATTGAACCCAGGGCTTCACCCATGGTAGGCAAGCACTCTAACACTAAGCTACATTCCCAGCCTAAACTCTTTTTCTTTTGTTGGTCATGGGGCTTGAACTCTGGGCCTGGGCGCTGTCCTTCAGTTTTTCAGCTCAAGGCTAGCGCTCTACCACTTGAGCCACAGCACCATTTCCATCCCAGTCCAAAACTCTTGAGTCACGAGACAATGCCCACACTGGAACACCAGGCTTTTATTCCCTTGAAGAAGACCAGTAGAAAACCAACAGACACTGTATTTTCTATCTTTTGATTTTGTTTATCTGTATTGGTGTTAGGCAATGTCTCTATACCACAGACTGCTATGCCTAAAAAAAGAGCAAAAATATCCTCTATGTCTCATCCAACAAGTGGAAGACTTACACAAGCAAGTGGAAGCAGCCAGAATTAAAAATCCTGGCTGGGCAACAGTTGCTCACGCCTGTAATCCTAGCTACTCAGGAAGCTGAGAGCTGAGGATCGCAATTCAAAGCCAGCCAGGCAGCAAAGTCCATAAGACTCTTATTTCTGTGGCTCAAGTGGTAGAGAGCTAGCCTTGAACTGAGCATTTGCCATGAGCTGAAGAGCTGAGCTACAGCACCCAGGCCCAGAGTTCAAGCCCCATAACTGACCAAAAAAAAAAAAAAAAAGAAAGAAAGAAAAAAGAAAAAGGAAAAGCATGCTGATGTTTGCAGTGCAGGCCTCATCCTTGGGATGCCACACTCCCACGGCAGGGCTTTTGCACAATCTCATTCTGTCAGTGTCCACTGACACATGTGCACATTTCTGAGCTACAGCCCCAGACCCAGATGCAAGCTCTTCTGTGTTCAGGAACAGAAAAAAAAAATTATTGGGAAAAATCTGGTAAAATATAGGCCTGGAATTCAGTTAACAATACATACACCAATGTTGGGGTATATGACAACTATAAAATGTTTCTATTAAAGAAATTCAATTTTTTGTATTATTTTTACAACTTTTCTGTAAATCTAAAATTAATTCAAAATAGTTTATTAATAGTTGGGCATCTGGTGGCTCAGGCCTGTAATCTTTTTTGTCAGTTATGGGGCTTGAACTCTGGGACTGAGCGCTGTCCCTCAGCTCTTCAGCTCAAGAGTGCTCACCTTGAGCACTCTACCATTTGAGCCACAGCTCCACTTCCAGTTTTCTAGTGGCTTATTGGAGATAAGAGTCTCATGGACTTTCCTGCCTGGGCTAGCTTTGAACCATGATCCTCAGATCTCAGCCTCCTCAGTAGCTAGGATTACAGGTGTGAGCCATCGGCACCCGGCAGGCCTATAATCTTGACTACTCAGGAGTCTGAGATCTGAAGATTGCAGTTTGAAGCGAGCCTGGCCAGAAAAATCTGTGAGACTCTGAGATCCAACTAACCAGAAAAAAGATGGAAGAAGAGCTATGGATCAAGTGGTACAGCACTAGCTTTGAATAAAAAAAGCTTAGGAACAGTGCTCAGGCTCTGATTTCAAGCCCCAGGACTGGCTCCAAAGGGGGAAAAAAAAAGGCCAAGTAGCTGGGCACTAGTGGCTCACTCCTGTAATTCTAGCTACTCAGGAGGCTGAGATCTGATGATCCCAATTTGAAGTCAGTCTAGGCAGAAAAGTCTGTGAGACTCATCTCCAATTAAACCACAAACAGCTGGAGGTGGAGCTGTGGCTCCAGTGCTAGAGCACTAGCTTAGAGCACAAAAGCTCTGGGTATTGCCCAAGCCCAGAGTTCAAGCCCCAGGACCAGGAAAAAAAAAACCAAAAAACAAAAATCAAAAACCCAAGCATAATGGCACACATTTGTAAACCCAAGAGGGATTAAGAGGCTGAGGCAGGAAAATACTAAGTTTGAGGCTAGCCTGGGCTACTTAGCAAGACCCTGTCTCAAAAACAAAAACAGGGAGAAGAGAGGGAAGTACTTCTCCATCAGTCTTCCAAAGTGGTAGAACACAACAGTACTGCCTTAAGATACCATTGGCCCCTCACCTGTAACTCCTCCATCTGCTTCCTGGCAGTTTCATTAAAAAGCTTCAGCTCATCTTGCAGCGTTTCTAATAGCAACTAAGAGGAAAGCAAATGTGATAAATCTTCAAATAAAAGGAGAGCTGGATTAGGCGATGGCTAATGTTCTTCCACTCATTCATCACTTACTGTGGACTCTTCATTGAGGCCCCTTAAAGGTCCTTTATAGGAATAATTTCTAAGTACTACAGACTTCTACATCTTAAGTAGAGCAAAGACATCCTCTACGTCCTCTGCAGTACTCCAGTATTTATCCAAACCATCTGAAGCAACCAGACCCAATAATTGGGTCTTCCCACAGGTCTTGAGATACCAAGTCCATGTACTATAATGTGCTCTGTGCTATATCCACTGCTTATAAGAGCTGAGGAAGGATCCATTCTGAGTTGAAGATGACAAGTGATCTCTCAGGGGAAGAAGTCAGACAAATTTCAAAAACAGTAAGCCTATATGCATTACCTTCCTTCTTTAAAAAAGCAAACAACAGAAAACCGTGCGTTCAAATATAACAGGCTGGAGAAATGCATCATACCGTTCTCAGCAAAGGAGTAGGGGAGAAATTTAAAAAGTGAAGAATGGAGAGAATAGGAAGTTCTCTGTACAAGTTTACCCTATCATGTTTCTGACAACAGTGCTGGGAAATGAACCCAGGACATCATGCATGCACGGCAAGTCCTTTCCCACTGGGCCACATCCCTGCCCCCCCTCCCTGTACGTGTTTTAAAGAAGTACACTTTCAAGTAAGACCTACTTACATTAAGTTCACAGCTACCCTTCATCTAAAATATGCTGTTAAGTACACATTCCCTTGTTCATGGAAAAGCAAAGCTTCTGGGGTTTGCTGAGCACAGGTAGAGATCTTAGATCTACAGATCCCTGGGTCACAGGGCCCCATGCATTCACACTCATGCCCTCACCATAGAGTCCGAGTGATCCGTGGTGAGTTCTTGCTGTGAAGCCAGGGTCTCACTGCCTAGAAAGCATGGAAGCAACAAAGTCAGCCTCACCTGCGAACAATACCCTCAATGGAACATAGCTCTAAAACAACCACAGGTGTATTCCTGAGGGAAACTTCTCTGTATGTCTACTCCTGGGCATTCTGCATTTGTTTATGCGCGTCCTGGAATTTGAACTCAAGACCTGGGCACTATATCTGAGCTTTTTTTGCCCAAGGGATCCTGCAGTTTATCCAGTCCATTCAGAGTCAGCATTGCTTAATCTCTTAGGTCAGAAGCCAGGGACCTCTCCCTGGCAGTCTCTTAAGTCAGAGACCAGGGACCTCTCCTGGCAGTCTCTTAGGTCAGGGGCCAGGGACCCTTCCTGGGCAGTCATTGACTCCTGTATTTGGCTTGAGCTGCCTCACAATCTCTAGGCAATTCCTATTTTCTACAAACAGTGTTTAAACAGGAATCACCTTTGTGTGATGTTTCTATGTTTATACTATTTCCTTCTGCATGTAAGCTGAGCTCCCTTTGCTACTTCCCACATAAACTCAGCACTTGGGAGGCTGAGGCAGGAGGAACAAGTGTTCAAAGTCACCCTGAGCTATCTAGTGGGTTAAAGACCAGTGTGGCTATAGAGACCCTGTCTCAAGAAACAATACAAATGAAAACCAATGTCAAGGGGCTGGGAAGGTGGCTCAGTGGTAGAGTGCTTGCCCTGCATTCATGAGGTCCTGGGTTTGATTTCTCAGCACCACATAAGCAGAAAAAGCTGGAAGTGGCTCTGTGGCTCAAGTGGTAGAGCGCTAGCCTTGAGCTGAAGGGCTGAGGGACAGTGCCCAGGCCCAGAGTTCAGATCCCTGGACCGCCAAAAAAACAAAACACAAAAACCAAAAAATCAACCAACATCAACTGAGAAGAGTGAACTCTCGATTTTCAGGGCATAGTGAAGCAGCTCCCACACCACTGGGCAGCAATGCTGTACTGCTGATTAGCCCTGCGCTGACTCTTCGGAAGATGGCAGAGTGATGTCTCTCACCTGGGTTGAGGCCCTTGCTCTCCAAAATTGCTAAGCAGTTGTCCTGGAACCTCTCCAGCAGCTCCACCTTCTGAGTCAGATCTTTCAGTTCTTCCTATTGGAGTGCCACAGACAGGTCAGGAAGTGCCCCACAAATGACAGGTCTTCCTTGCATGTGCTTTTGGTCAACCAAGCTCAAAGAACACTGGCTTCTCTCAGTACCCTTGGGCAACTTGCTCCCTCGCATTTCCCACAAGCCTCGCCCTCACAAAGGAGATGTGGGGCTCCTACCTGAGTTTCCGTCAACTTCTGGTGCAACTGCTGGTTGACAGCCTCTAAAAGCTGGTTCTTATCCTTGAGGTCTTCCTCTGACCTTTGCTTACCCAGTGGCTTGTAGCTGTAACAACAGTTGCTTACATGAAGAGGGAATTATTCAAATGGGTTTGAATTCTATCTTTTTGACACATTGGTATATAACTTCATGTTCGCCGGGCGCCGGTGGCTCACACCTGTAATCCTAGCTACTCAGGAGGCTGAGATCTGAGGATCGAGGTTCAAAGCCAGCCCAGGCAGAGAAGTCCGTGAGACTCTTATCTCTAATAAACCACTAGAAAACCGGAAGTGGTGTTGTGGCTCAAGTGGTAGAGCGCTCGCCTTGAGCTGAAGAGCTGAGGGGCAGAGCCCAGGCCCAGAGTTCAAGCCCCATGACCAACCAAAAAAAAAAAAAATTTCACGCTCTACTCTTTCATTTCTAGAGTCAAAAGAGCAACTATATTTCATTATGAGAGAATAAATTCATGACAATACTTAATCCAGGTGCTGACACATGGTAAGCATTTAATAATACTCACTATCATCACTACCAATACTGAACCTTCACTACGGAGAATTCAGTTGTGATTTTTTGACAGTGTCAGGCTCTATAGTTCAGGATGTCTCAAACTCACAGTCCTCCCGCCTTAGGCTTCCAGGTGCTGGATTACAGGCCTGTGTCACTACGCTAGCTTGTCTTTAAGACTTGTGTGTGTGTGCGTGTGCATGCCAGTCCTAGGGTTAAACTCAGACTGGGTGCTGTCCCTGAGCTTTTGTGCTCAAGTCTAGTGCTCTACCACTTAAGCCACAGTTCCATTGCTGGCTTTTTGGTGGTTAATGGAGATGAGGAGTCTCAGACTTTCTTGCCCAGGCTGGCTTTGAGCTGTGACCCTTGGATCAGTCTCTGAGTAGCTGGGATTTACAGCTGTCAGCCACTGGGGGTGACTGGTTCATCTGTCTCAGTCTACTCAGAGCAAGTATGGGAAAAGAACCCCTTTCTCACAACTTTTGCTGAGTCAAAACAGGGGATCCTAACAACTCAAAACATGTTAATAGGGCTGGGAAGGTGGCTCAGTGGTAGAGCGCTTGCCTTGCATGCCTGAGGCCCTGAGTTCGATTCCTCAGCACCACATAAGCAAAAAGAAAAAAAAAAGCCGGAAGTGGTGCTGTAGCTCAAGTGGTAGAGAGCTAGCCTTGAGCTGAAGAGCTGAGGGACAGCACCCAAGCCCAGAGTTCAGGCCCCACGACCGGACCCCCCCAAAAAAAAAAAAACCATGTTAATAGATTTGGAATTAAGTATACAGAATTTTCAGATAATTATGATGTTTATAGACTGACCAGCATGTTTGTCTCCATTGCCAGAATAGTTATCCTGACTTCCTATCCCAGTCCTTCAAGTCCAGAAGCTTCACACTCCTGTTTGTAGGTCATGAACAGGAGTCTTGCCAGGAGGCCCAAAAGCTCTTGTCTGGGACTCAAGATGGTACTACCAATTCTTTTCTTTTTTTTTAATAAGTTATTTATTGTGAAGATACTGTACAGGGGGTTACAGTTACATGAGCAAGGTAATGAATATGTTTCTTATCCTCTGTTTTTCCTCTACCATCCCTGTCTTACCACCTCTTCAACTACACTCCACCCTCACTCCCTCCAACCCCGTGCCCCTCCCTTCCCCCCCACCCCCTCCCCCCCACCCGCACTACCAATTCTTACCTGACAACAACTCTCATGAAAATTTCCCTCAGTATCTAAAGTGGTACCCAGACTGTGTCATGTTAAACAGTCCCACTAGTGAATGTAAGATACCAGTGGGGTTGTCATTACCCACGGCCCTGGGCCAGCTTAGTTCTCCCTGATGCTCACCCCTTTCGGAGGGTTTTCCTGATGGTAGTCTCTGCAGCTTTCATCTGCCTAGAGAAGCAAAAATGAAGAAATGAATCAGAGCAGCACACTTAACTGGGACTAGAGGCTGCTCAGACCAGCAACCTCCACTAAGAGCTAGCTCCCACCTTCCATGCCTGCTCCTCAGGCTGGTACCTGGCCTTGATGAGGCCTCAGTGCACTCAGATCAAGTGAGAGGAAAAGAATACCTTTTTCACAACTCTGGCTAAGTCAACACAGGGGACCCTAAACAACCACCTCAGCGCTGTAGGGCTTTGTGTCCCCACCCACAGCTTGTCTTGTCATTCTGGTGCCTTTGCTCTCATGCCCTGGTATTTAATCTTGGCACCGAATCATTTCTAGCAAGGTCTTGTCCTCTCTTCCTCTCTCTCAGTGCTGTGGACCTGACTCACAGTATACATACGCTAGGCAAGCGCTCTACCACAAAGCCACAGATACCAATGATCTGCCCTCACCCAATATCTCGTTTTGGTTTGGTGACTTTTGTAATATCGTTCTCTGAGCCTCCTGAATGAGGATGTCTGGGAACATCAACTTCTTTGGACTTAACAGGTAGGAGACTCTTAAAAGTAGCTCGAGTTTGTGAATCTGCAAGGGAAAACGAGAGGGTGAAGCCTCAAGCATAGCACTGCAGTATTTAACAGCCCCACCCAAGTCACGTGACTTCAATCTCTCAGGCCACGCCCAACTTGTGAAGATGAATTCAGATTAAGATTGCTGTGCTGGATGTTGGAGGCTCACACCTATAATCCTAACTACTCTGGAGGCTGAGATCTAAGCATCACAGTTCAAAGCCAGATTGGAAAATCTATGAGACTTATTGCCAATTAACCAAAATAGCCAGAAGTGGAGCTGTGGCTCAAGTGGTAGAACACTAGCCTTGAGCAAAGAAGATTAGGGAAGGCACCCACGACCTGAGTTAAAGCCCCAGAACTGACATAAAAACTAAAAATAAAAAATACTTCTAGACTCACTGTAGGGGAAACCAAATTCTTCAATTGTGACAGCTAAGTGTGGAATAAATGTGAATACAGACATTGATATCAACCAAAGCCCGGGCACTTGTAGCTCACACTTGTAATACTAGATATTCAAGAAGTTAAGATCTAGAGGATTGCAGTTCAAAGTCAGTTTGTGCAGAAAAGTCCAAGACCCCCAACTCTAATTACACAGAAAGATGCTAGACTAGAGACATGACTAAGGCAGTAGAGTGCTAGCCAGGAGCAAGAAAACTGAACAAGAGCTGAAGGCATTGAGTTCAGGCCCCAGTTCCCCTCACCCCGCCCCCCCCTCACCCCAAACAGTAATGGCAACTAAAGGGAAAATGGAAGTTAGTTGGTAAAACTTGTCCAAATCTTCACCAAGCAACAACAGAACCAACTGTGCCACCTCATTAAGCTCCCTACACACATCCTAAGGCAACACTCCAGCTGCATTTTATTTATTTATTGCCCATCCTAGGGCTTAAACTCAGGGCCTGGGCACTGTTTCTGAGCCTCTCTGTGGGCAAGGGTAGAGCTCTACCACCTGAGCCACAGTGCCACTTCTGGCTTTTTCCGTTTATGTGATACTAAGGAATGGAACACAGGGCTTCATGCATGCTAGGCACGCACTCTGCCACTAAGCCACATTCTCAGCCCCCAGCTGCTTTTTAAATGATGTGTCTACTGCCACCAAAAGCCATCCTAACCCTCCAGAAGAAATCTGGCACATGACAGAAGGTCCAGAAATAGCTGGTGGAACAAATGGAAGACTGGCTGTAGTCCTTCATCGCTACCTGTCTCCTCTCCCCCTACCCCTCTCTTCTTTCTCTTTCTCTCTTTCATGTTCTCTCTTTTTGCTAGTTCTGGGGCTTGACTTCAGGATCTGGACACTGTCCCTGACCTACTTTTTGCTCAAGGCGAGCACTCTACCTCATGTCTAGCACACAGCCTCATGTCTAGCTTTTTATGTGGTACTGAAGAATTGAACCCAAGGTGTCATACATGCTAGGCAAGGACTCTACCACTAAGCCACATTCCCAGTCTCCCCTACCCCCCTTTTTCTGGTTGCCAGTCCTGGGGCTTGACAACAAGGATTAGGTTGCTGTTCCTTAGCGTTTTTGCTCAATGTTACCACTTGAGCCACAGCTCTACTTCTGGCTTTTTAAAATTTTTTAAAATTTTTTTATTTTTTGTCAGTCATAGGGCCTGAACTCTGGGCCTGGGCACTGTCCCTCAGCTCTTCAGCTCAAAGCTAGCGCTCTACCACTTGAGCCACAGTGCCACTTCTGGCTTTTTCTGTTTATGTGGTGCTGAGGAATCGAACCCAGGGCTTCATGCATGCAAGGCAAGCACTCTACCACTGAGCCATCTTCCCAGCCCCTACTTCTGGCTTTTTGGTAGTTAACTGGAGATAAGAGTCTTGTAGACTTTCCTGCCCAGACTGGCTTTGAACGCTGATCTTCAGAGTTCAGCCTCCTTAATAGCTAGAATTAGATATGAACCACTAGTGCACAGCTCCTCTGCTCTTCCAGAGAGCTGCCTCTGCTACCTGCCCATACATTTGTGGTCATTTGTTCTGATCTTCTTGTGGGCCAGGACTGGATAACTCCTCTACCAAACACTGGGTTTCTAGGATTTAGATTCACAGCAAGTCTTACTCAAGTAGCTTATTCAGGGGGTAAGTACATTGCTGCACTACCACCCAACCCAATAAATACACATACATACACATACACACACGCACACACACGCACACAGGCTTTTGTATTTCTTTTTTGGATCAAACCTAGGGCCTTGCTTATGCTGGGCAAGTGCTCTACACTGAACCCCACCCCTGGGCCATGTTTTTCTAGATCATACTAACTTCATTGTGTTCACTGTAAAATGGCCCACTTAAGCATGATGTAAGAGGCATAATAACTAAATCAAGCTGAAATAATGAGGTGCAAAGTGCTCAATCATATTAGTTAGGGGGGAAAATCCCTGCTTCTTTTTTTTTTTTTTGTCGGTCGTGGGGCTTGAACTCTGGGCCTGGGCGCTGTCCCTCAGCTCTTCAGCTCAAAGCGAGCGCTCTACCACTTGAGCTACCGTGCCACTTCCGGTTTTCTGGTGGTTTATTGGAGATAGGAGTCTCACGGTCTCTCCTGTCCGGGCTGGCTTTGAACTGTGATCCTCAGATCTCAGCCTCCTGAGTAGCTAGGATTACAGGCGTGAGCCACCAGCGCCCGGCTCCTGCTTCTTTCTTTTCTGGCAGTTTTAGAGTTCCAACTCAGGACTTTGAACTTGTTAGGCAGGAGCCCAACCACTTGAGCTATGTCTCTGGCCCTTTTTGTAACAGGGAGCCACTTCTCCTCCCAAGACCAACCTGTACCATGATCCCCCTATAAATGCTTCCCACAGAGAGCGGTTGACAGGCAGACTCTGAGATGAAGTCCAAAAGTTGTAAAGGGGTGTGGTTACATATACATATATATGTACAACACATATATACAAAATATATATGTATGCATATATATGTATATGTATATATATATGTATGTGTGTGTATATATCTATATACACACACACACACACAGCAGAGCTGTGTGGAGAGATCTGGCTCTTCCTTCCCATAAGGCCTGGTCCTTGCTGAGCCAAGATTACTATTTCAGGTGTATGTAATAGGAAAGAGGACAACTCTGAAAAGCCTATTCACTTCGGAGATCAATCCTGCCACTACTCTTCAACATAAGGACTGCAAGGAATCATCTGGAAGGGATCACAAATAGCTGCACCATCCCCCTCCCCCCCCCCCCCAAATGTTCTGGTATCTAAGAGCTTGCTGTATACATGGGATCTCTAGCTGAGGCGGCTCAACCACCGAGACACCTCACCACAAGCAGAAACCACAGAAGGGCTGGGTGCCTTGCTGGTTGACACCGGTAATCCTCGCTCCTGAGGAGGCCGAGCTACGAGGATAGCGGTTTGATGCCAGCCCCCCCCCCCCCCCCCCCCCCAGGCAGCCAAGTCCCTGAGACTCTCATCCCCAACAAGCTACACGTGGAGGCGTGGCTCAAGTGGTACAACCCCAGCCTAGAGGCGAAGAGGAAGGGGCGGCCCGACTTCCAGCCAGTGGGCTGGGCTGGCACCGGCCCCTCCCTGGGGTGGGGGACCCCCCCCCCACGAGAGGTCGCCCCTCCCCGAGGGAGGCCCTTACCTGAGGGCTGCCCTGCGCTCGGCGCCGAGGGGGGCTGCAGGCCGTGCAGCGTCTTGGCCGCGCTGGTCATGGTCACGGGGCCGCCCGGCTGGGGCCTGCAAGGGGGCCGAGCGGGTGTGACCGAGCGGGCGGGCCAGCCGCGCGCCCCGCCGCCCCTCAGAGAAGCTCCCCCCGCCCCCCGGCCCAGCCTCCGCCCCGGGGGAGCCCGAACCCCGGCGCCGGCCGCTCCGCGTCGCTCTCGTCCGGGACACTGGGGGCCGCAACCGCCAGGGCGCCCTCGGAGTCGGCCGCCTCCGTTTCAAATGGGGACTTCCGGTAGCTGGGCGGAAGGGAGCGCAGTTCCGGTGTGGCGGGCCCGGCCGTACGGAAGGCCGTGGCTCGGGCCGCCACGCTGGGGGCCGCCATGCTGTACGGACTGCAGGGCCCGGATCTGGCCGGGACCGGGCGCGCCCGTGGCGGGCCTGCGTGGAGCTGGCGAGCCGCAGCGCCGGGCCCCGGGCGCCGGCCGCACAGGGCCCACGTTGGGCTCTAGGTCACAATCCTCTTTATTTCGAGCGGAGATTATCAGGGGCGCCCCGGGAGCCCCTCGGAGGCTGCCGCGTCCGCCGCCTCCTCCCCCGCGCGGGATCGCTGGAGACGCTGCGGGAGATGGCACGCGATGGCGTGCGGGCTGCCGTTGCCAGCCTGGCTCTTCCCTAGCGCGTCGGCGGCGGTCAGATCTGATGCGAGCCCTCCCCGGCCTGCGCCGGGCCCGGCCCCGACCCCGACCCCGACCCGACGGGAGCGGCCGGCAGGGCCCGACCCCGACCCCGACCCCGACCCGACGGGAGCGGCCGGCAGGGCCCGGCCCCGGCCCCGACCCCGACCCGACGGGAGCGGCCGGCAGGGCCCGACCCCGACCCCGACCCCGACCCCGACCCCGACCCGACGGGAGCGGCCGGCAGGGCCCGACCCCGACCCCGACCCCGACCCGACGGGAGCGGCCGGCAGGGCCCCGACCCCGACCCGACGGGAGCGGCCGGCAGGGCCCGACCCCGACCCGACGGGAGCGGCCGGCAGGCGCAGCCCCGACCCCAACCCAACGGGGCAGCGGGCAGGGCCAGCCCCCGACCCGACGGGGCAGCGGGCAGGGCCGTCCCCCACGGGTTTGGCCGGCAGGACTGACTGCGGCGCCGCCCTCGTGGGAGTGTGCAATCCAGGAACTGGACGACGACACTGATAGATACTCACCTACTGAAGGAAAAAGTACGCGGTGCTGTGAGGGGAAAAAAGCCGAAGGATAGGCTTGGAGTGTGAGGGAAGATGTGATCCTTGCTGATTCAGGGAGGAAGAGGAGAAGGAGAGGGAGGGGGGATGAAGAGGAGGAAGAAGAATGGACAAGTGCAAAGTTCCTCCCAGGCAGAAGGCTGGTCATCCTAGCTACTCTGGAAGATTGTGGTTTGAGGCCAGCCCAAATGAGAGACCTTCATCTCCAGCTGGGAACGTGGCTCAGAGGTAGAATGCTTGCCTAGCATGCATGAAGCCCCGGGCTTGATTCCTCAGTACCACACACAGATAAAGCTGGCAGTGGTGCTGTGGCTCAAGTGGTAGAGTGCTAGCCTTGAGCCAAAAAAGCTCAGGGACAGTGCCCAGGCCCTGAGATCAAGCCTCAAGACTGGAGGCAAGGAGGGAGGAAGGGAGAGAGAGAGAGAGGGAAAGAGAGAGAGAGAGGAAAAGAGAAGGAGAGAGAAGAGAGGGAAATTCTCAATGAATTTAAGGGGGGAAAAAAAAAACTGTGCTGGAGCACCCTGTTTCTCCTTGTGCTACTGGAGAAGCACAAATAGGAGGATTAGGGTTCACGCTGGTCTGAGCACAAATGCCAGACCCCAGGAAGAAAAAGGTAGGAGAAAGGTACAGATAAAGCAGGAAAGAAGCAAAGTGGCAGCCTTTGTGCCAGGGTAAAGGATTCAGTTTGATCTTAAGAATAATAGGGGGCTGGGAAGGTGGCTCAGTGGTAGAGCACTTGCCTTGCATGCCTGAGGCCCTGGGTTCATTCCTCAGCACCACATAAGCAAAAAGAAAAAAGCCGGAACTGGTGCTGTGGCTCAAGTGGTAGAGTGCTAGCCTTGAGCTGAAGAGCTGAGGGACAGCGCCCAGGCCCAGAGTTCAGGCCCCATAACCGGACCCAAAAAAAAATAGGAAGCCACTCCACACATTAGAAGAGTGTCATCATATATATATATATATATATATATATATATATATATATAATAAAATATTTATTTTTGCTTGTGGAGCTATCCCTGAGTTCTTCAGCCCAACACAAACTACCACTCAAGCCACAGCACCACTTCCAGTTTTTTGGTGGTTAATTGGAGACAAGTCTCACAGACATTCCTGCTTGGGCTGGATTTGAACTGCAGTCCTCAGATCTGAACCTCCTGAGTAGCTAGGATTACAGGAGTGAGCCACTGGCACCCAGCTAATTTAACACTTCCTCTCTGATTCCATGTTCTTGCCTTATACCTGCTGCAAGTATTTGGAGGTCAGCGCGAGCGACTGGGGCAGTAGAAGGAGTGGGGGGGGGGATCATTTGTTACCCAAGAGGAAATTCATAAGGATCAGGAGAAGCCAAATAACCCTCATAACAGATGCCACCTGTGGAAAGCAACTATCCGGTAAGCTGTAGCTTATACTGGAGGTGGGGATTACCCCTCCAAACTGAGCGCCTCCTCTTTCTGGTCTCAAGAGGCCATATTCAATTCTATTTACTCTTTGGAAGTTATTTCCTAACCTGTTATGTAAATAAACTAGCATATTCTTGGAGATGGAGAAAAGCAAAATCCACGTAAGACAGCTTTAAAAGTAAGTCTCAGGATAAGGTTGGGAGTAGGGGAGGGAGGGAGAGAGAAAGAAAGAGGGGGGAGGAGAGCAAGAGCGAGAGAGAGAGAGAGAGAGAGAGAGAGAGAGAGAGAGAGAGAGAGAGAGAGAATCCTTATTACATCATCCACCCCCAGGCTTGAATGTGTGTGGATAATCACTGTTTTGTGTAGATGTGTTGGGAAATTGAGAGTTTGGCTTTCTTCCTTTCCTTCCTTCCTTCTTTTCTCTCTTTTTTTCCTGTCAGTCATGGGACTTGAACTCAAGGCCTGGGCACTGTCCCTGAGCTCTTCAGCTCTACCACTTGAGCCACAGCACCACTTCCAGTTTTCTGGTGGTTAAATGGAAATAAGAGTCTCCACAGACTTTGCTGCTCAGGGTGGCCTTGAACCAGTATCCTCAAATCTCAGCCTCCCCAATACCTAGCACCTGGCTATTTAAGATTGGAGGGGGGTAGGTCTTACAATGTTGTTCCATTTGTCTCCCAACTCCTAAGTTCCAGTGATGCTTTTGCCTTGGTGGCTAGAGAAGCTGGGACTTCCGGAGTGAGCCAAGAAGGACTTATCTTGATTGAGCCAACTGACTTGGTCAGTCTTCTGTGCCCATGAGTTCTGTACCTGCAGATTCAACCATGCAGATTGAAAATATTTGGGGTGGGGTGGGGAAAAAAAACCACATCATAACTGAACTCATACATATTTTTTCTTGTCATTATTCCTTAAACAACACAGTATAACAACACTGACACAGCCTCTACATTGTAGTAGGTATCGTAGATCACTAGAGACGATTTGAAGTATATGGAGGATACGCGCAGGTTATAAGCAAATACTACACCGTTTTACACAAGGAACTTGAACATCCTTGGATTTCGCCATTGGGAGATGGGGGGGGGGGTTCCCGGAACCAATTCTCTGTAGATACCAAGGGACAACTGTACTGTCTTCTGTCATCTCCGTAACTCTTAGGTCTCATTTAGATTTCTGCTTCACTGGTCATGAGCTGCTGGGGGTGGGAGGTAGGTCTCAACATAGGAACATGACATAATCAAGCCAACATATCTTCTGAGTCACTCCAGCTCTACGACAGACGGGCTGTAGAAAAACCCCTAATCTTCCTTGACACCCCTAGGGAAACTGGCGTGGATCTATGGTTTTCAGGGCACATCCTGAGGGGCTGCCAAGAGCCTTCAGGGACCCCAGGACCCTTGGTGTTAGAATACAAGGGTTCTTTTAAGGAAGGGGGTCAGGCTATAGCCTTTGGAAACTGCTGGAAATGATATTCTCAAAACCCCTTCCAGTCCATGTGTAAGAAGCTGGGCTCTTTGAAGTTACCCTCCCCGCCTCCCCACAGCTGTGCCCCTCCTAATACCATATGCAAAGCTGTTCATACTCTCCCTGGCGCCACCTAATGTATGAGCTCTGACATGGGTTGGACCTTCAAGGTAGACTCCTTGCTTTGGGTAGGTACCCAAGTTAGGTACCCAGTGCCCCATTCCCCCAGATTTGTTCTTTAGAAGCTCGAGACTTGACCCAGAGAGCAGTTTGACTAGTACGTTCCCCAGAAAGGGCAGATCTGAGTTCTTTCTTAGCTGGATTATTCTGCTGGACCATGGCCTTCCATCCCTCAGTTCCTGTCCTGCCAGGCCTCCGTGTGCACTGCAGCCTGAGGATCAGGTCAGTGCTCATCTGGAGGCTGGCCGCTGGAGGTCCCTCAGAGGATTCCAGAGGGGAGGATGGGGTGTATGGGGGACACAAGGAGGCACCCTGGGATCTGCTCAGAGTGCAGCTTATTCTGGAGATGGGCGCCCAAAGGGGGAGGCAGGGTTTACACACAGACAGCCAAAAAGGCAAGTTGGAGGGAAGTACTAGAAGCAAAGGATCAAGACAAGCCAGGGACCAATGTCTCTGAAGCTGGTAGCCAGAGTCTGAGAGTTGTGGTGATAGAATGAGTCAGGAAACCGCTCTGCCAGGGCCCGGCCACATGAGCGGGGAAATGGATGGCTTCCTCAGTCTCTGTGTGTTTCCCTTGCTTGTTGGGGCTCACAGAACCTCACCGCCCCACCTCACCGCCCCGTAGCAAACTGCTGGACACAATTATGGGTCCCTCTCAGGAGCGGAGGATCTTGCAATTTAGCGGTGCTCTGTGGCTAACCATTGGCCTCCCGCCAGCCAAGTCTGCCTTCCGGGCTTCCAACCAACAGCCAGCTCCGCTCAGCCCTGGGAAACTGCTCACACTGGATAGCAGTCCAGGAAGAAGCCCCCAGCCTGATCCTGGCCAGAGAAGTTCCCCAAAGAATGAAAAGCTTCCTGATGAAGAGTCAGTGAATGAGAAGAGGTGATTCAGGAGGCAGTGGAGATTGCTGAGGGCTCTTCTGCTCAGTGAGGTGCTGTCAGGGTCGTAAGGACGGGGTACCCCAGGGTCACTGAGCATCTTGCCACTTGGGAGAGGGCCAGAGTCATCTCCCCTGATAGAGCCGCACATCCAGCCTCCCCTCCCCTTCCAGAGGAGGGGTCCTTCCTTATTGGCACGGTGGGGGCAGACAG